ATGAAAAATCAGCCCAGGCATTAACGTCTCCAGCATGACCCTGGGGCAAAAATCAGATAAAATTAAACTTCAAGATTCCGTGGATTTGAATGGAATTCTCAGACACTAACAGCGGGAATGCATACAATCATTTTTCTCAGGTAGTATTTAATAAAAGCATTACAAAGTCCATGCTTTATAATCTGATAGTTTTATTTTTAAGAAAAAATCAGCCCAAGGATTAACGTCTCCAGCATGACCCTGGGGCAAAAATCAGATAAAATTAAACTTCAAGATTCCGTGGATTTGAATGGAATTCTCAGACACTAATAGTGGGAATGCATACAATCATTTTTCTCAGGTAGTATTTAATAAAAGCATTACAAAGTCCATGCTTTATAATCTGATAGTTTTATTTTTAAGAATTTATCCTAATGAATAATAGACAAATGCAAGGATGATTAGGAGTGTTAATTATCCTGTTATTTATAATATTGGAAAATTAGAAGTAACCCAAACATCAGTCACAACGGACCAGCTAGATGACGGTTTCCCCTAGCAGGGAAGCCAGTCACTTAACATGCCGCTGTGGGTTTGTAACATGGACAGGTGCACGGCTTATGCCGTAACCGGCGGTTTCCTGTGGAGAAGACAAGCCTGTGCAATAAATGAACCCTAAACAGGGCGGGGCAAAAGTGGGGTTACAGTTGTGAGTATGCAAACACAGAGCTATTCTTGTATTATTATTCATTAATTACTGTATTATTTTCCACACGGACAACTGCATCCCTCCCTTTGCCCGCCCTTTGTTCACATAGAGAGTAATGGGCATGTGGAAGGGACCGTGTGAAAGGATTACGGCCATTTTACACGTCACTGGGGTACGGATGCTTTTTCCTCTTTTCTGTAATCCCCACTTTTTCCTCATGAATGTTTGTGATGTGCTTTAATGAGGTTAAAGAGACAGTGACATTAAAATATGCTGACACTGATTCCAACCCCCATCATCCAGTTGGCTTCTTTTCTGTGCTTACAGACGACAGTCCTAACGCGGGAGGCCCTCTAAGCAAATCCGTGGGAGGCCACACCCGTCACCCTTGCCATGGACGTCTCCCCTGGTCTCTGAGGATCATCTTAGCAGCAGGACAATAGCAGGGGCCTCCCCTGGGCATACAACCCACCAGCAACCCCCAAATGGAGCCAGTGAAGAGAGGAACACCGTTTTCCACGATTCGGTTTGAGAGCAGGGAAAGTGGGAGGAGCCTGAGGCAGGTCCTAAAACCACTAAGTCATTGGAAAATAAATGCACATAGAACATAATTGAGCCCTGGCCAGCGTGGCTCAGTGATTAGAGTGTGGCCTGAGCACCGAAGGGTCATAGGTTTGATTCCCGGTCAGGGCACATGCCCAGGTTGTGGGCTCAATCCCTGGTCCAGTAGCATGCTGGAGGCACCAATCCATGTGTCTCTCTCATATCAATGTTTCTCTCTCGCTCTCTCTCTCTCTCTTTCTCTCTCTCTTTTCCTCTCCCTCCCTCCCTTCCACCCTCTCTAAAGTAAGTAAGTAAGTAAGTAAGTAAGTAAGTAAGTAAGTAAATAAATAAATAAATGGGAAAAAGATCCTTGCGTGAGGATTAACAAAAATAAAAATGGAAGGTTCTTCAATTTGGAGTAGAGGAGGTTGGTGGGATTCCCCTCAGCAGGGTGGCCCAGGTGGCCCTTTGTTTACCTGAGAGGTGGGCAACCTGTCAAGGTCACAGGCTCTGAAGGGTGAAGCCGAAGTTTCTGCGCAGGTGTGAGTCCAAACCCACACGCCGGTCAGTGTGCCACGGCCTCAGGTGAGGGCTGCTGCTCACAGGGACCTAGTGTCACAGACGCAGCCTCTGTCCTGGAGGCTGTGCATTCCCGACCCAGGTCGCAGGGACTCGCTGTGGGGACTCAAGCAAGACTCAGCCCCTGTGAGTGTGGGGAACCCCCTGGGAGGGCAGTGTCCTTCCCACCGTCCCTCACCGGGGGTCAGAAGTTGCTGCCATGGCAACCATGACGCTAACCCACACAGCAGCACCAAATGTCTGCCTGCCCCACATGACTGCTTTAAAATGTCCTCCAGAAAGTCTGATGTCACCCTGGGTAGAAATGGACACGAGGGCCACTTAAGAACATAATTACATGGACGGTGTGTTGATTAAAACCCGTGCTAATGTCTAGGACACAAATTCCACACGTGTGAGAGAGACTGAGCTAATTGTTAGCTCTTGGAAAAACTAATAAACACTACTTCTTTCTGGATTAGCAGTACTAAATACCTGTAATTATTATTACCTTGAAGAATGAAAGTAAACCTCTTCAAATCCCGCAGACGAGCAGCATAGGGGTGATCATATGCTGATGATAAAATACAGCTTTCCCAAGAGGGAGCACCTGCCTGTCCCATTCAAGCCCACGTCCCAGTGCTCAGTCCAGGACCTGCCACACCGGAGGTGCTCAATCAGTATTTTTTTGGAAAAAAATAAAAGGGCAAAATCTGTAATAAGTGCTCCCTGGCTAATATTAAGATGAACTGGTTAACGACAGTATTTGCCCAGATGCTCCCAGATATCCAAACTTTATGCAAAAATATGTAAATAAAGTCAGATAACAAGCCGTGTCCGGTGACCCAGTCCTGTGGAAGGTATAAGCTGATGACTGACTGCGTGCCAGGCGTCACAGGCGTGAGAACGCAGCTGTAAAGCACACAGCCCTGACCTCGGGTGGGGACATCCGTCTGGAATAAATGTGTACTGAATGGGAAACTGCCCGAGAGGAAGGACAGGCCGGGAGAAGAAGGGAGTGTGGGGGGCGTGCAAGGCACACCGAGGGGTGACTGCAAAGGCAGGGGAGGGGCTGTCAGGACAAGTGCGGGGCCCCGCCTCTGGAGGTGGTGAGCCGGGGACTCCGAGGGTAGGAAGCACTGGGTGCCCAGGACCCCAGAGAAGGGCGCCAGGTGCAGTGACCGGGCTGAGAGCAGCAGAGTCCCCACGGGCCGGGCCCACAGGGAAGGGTCCGACTTCTCTCTAAACATGATGCAGAGCTCAGAGCAAAGCACTGGCACGTTCCAATCCGATATAATAAAAGGCCAATATGCAAATTGTCCCCTTGACTGGGAGTTCGATGGGCCCCACCTGTGCACGAATGCGTGCACTGGGCCTCTAGTTTTTGTTATAAAAACATCGGCTGGCCTGACCAGCATGGCTCAGGGGTAGAGTGTCGACCTATGAACCAGGAGGTCACGGTTCGATTCCTGGTCAGGGCACAGGCCTGGGTTGTGGGCTCAGTTCCCAGTGTGGGGCGTGCAGGAGGCAGCTGATCCAGGATTCTCTCTCATCATTGATGTTTCTGTTTCTCTCCCTCTCCCTTCCTCCCTGAAATCAATAAAAATATATTTAAAACAAACAAACAAACAGACAAACAGACAAACAAACAAACAAACAAAAGAACACGTGGACTAGTAAGGCTGCTCCTGGCAGAGAATGAATAGGAGGAGCTGGAAGAGGGTGTGTGCGACTGGCCATCAGGAAAGCGACCAGCCCTGGAGACAGTGCTGGACGGCGCTGACTCGGCCGGCATCACCGGGGCTAAGCCTGGGGTACACCTGCGGCCCCCGCTGCTGCAGGTGAAGGCACCGTGGGATCGCGGGTGCTGTGTGCCCTCCCTCAGCCGGCAGCCCACTGCATGCTGGGAACACAGTCCATGCGAAGGTCCCTAAA